TACAACTCATGTCTCAAGATAGGTGGCAGCATATACGTTGTAGATGTCTATGGGCTCCGGTAACCACTTAGGCCGTGAACTCGTACACCCGTCTAAGCAATAAATAAATAAAAAGGTACGTTTTCATTGTTATTTTAAACGTAGATGACCACTTGACGTTACATGGCTATCGTAGACATAGACACTAGAACATGAAGTCTCGACTGCATTGAACAACTCTTGTTTGATCCTAGAGATGGAATGCGTAATTGTGTCGTGATAGAAATAGATGATGGTTTTAGCCCGTTAAGGGTCACGGAGCTCAAGATTAGAATTCGGTTGGAGTTGAGCCTAACACGGAGTTCGGCCATGAATCTCGTGATAAATCACTGCGTTTCGCTTAAGGGACTGCAAATTTTCATAATGCATCATGAACTAATTTTGTTGAGTATTTTGTCCGCATTTACAATGCAGATTTCTGTACGTAAGTGGTCCTGGTTACTGTTTTTTTTTTATATAAGTCGATATATGCTACTAATACTATAGGTACCTAAGATAGCTTTATTCATCTTGTAATATATTAACCTTGAAGTCGATATATGCTACTAATACTATAGGTACCTAAGATAGCTTTATTCATCTTGTAATATATTAGGCTTGAAGTCGATATATGCTACTAATACTATTCCTAAGACAGCTTTATTCATCTTGTCAATATATTAAGCTTGAATAGCCATTTTTTTAATATAATTTTGGAAAATAGCGCCCCCCTGCTTCCCCAACCGCAGTTCTACATTAGAGAATCTCCGCGAACTTAATTGTTCTGATGACTAACACCGAACAGCGCTTACACTCTGATTAATGAGCCGTTATGACGCATCCACAGCCTTCGAGTTTAAAGTACACGAGCCTGGGAACTTGATGTTTTTGTCACTACAATGGCGACATCATTAATCATGTCTGCGGGCTTCATCTGTATCAATAAAGGGAAACTTTGCATAATGCGAACATAACTTCAGACAACGCTATCAACTTCCGGAAATATTTTTAAACTAAAAAACTTAGATTGACACCGACTTGTGTTGGGGCTGTAAGAAGCGCTGAAATCGTTCATTCCATAAAAACGTATCGCATTGTTTCCTACGCGCAAATTGACATTAGCGCAATAGTAGCCAAACTGTCTGTGTCTACGTGTCACGTCATTATGTCTTGAAGTGAAAACTATTTTAGCATTGGAACAAAAATGACATTCAATAAAACGGCACTAAAAAGAGTAGACATATCTAGACATCATCATAGATATATCTAGATCTAGATAGATATATATGTAAGGTGACCAACTATAGTCATTTCCTGATTTTTGTACTCTTTTTTCGCAAACCGTACTCTTTTCAAATCCTGTACTCTGAAAGATAATTGCTTTTTTCGGCATTTTAGAGTAAAACATGAAAATTTAAAAGTTTTAATAAAAAAATCCTTATGTTGTCCAGGCACTAATGCTGCTGTTGAAAGGGTATTTTCACTAGGGAATGATTATTGGAGCAGTGAGAAGTCACAACTTTCTGTAAAAACGTTATCTGCCGTCTTCAAAGTCAAATTTATACGCAAAATGAAAGTTGTTCGGATGTGGTTAAATTATTGGAGGAACATTCATCCTCATTTAGCAAAAAAATTCACTCCGGAGAAAAATATGTTTTTAAAATATATTTTTTTCGTTTTTTCTTCTTTTTTTTCACCTATGAAATACTTGCAAAGTATACTTTGAACCTTTTTGAACCAAAAATAGTTTATCACTTTACATATAGACAGATGTATCTAGTAAATTCAGCCTGCGAAATAATGAAATAAAATATTTATGAATGTGTTATCTGTACAAAGAAATAAAACCCAATGAAATGTGCAAAAAGAGACAAACATATGCGAGTATACAGCCAATATACGAACATGCCTATCTTTCCTATTTTTCAAATTGCAGCAAAGACTAGATAAGTAAACAATACAGAACCGAGGCAAGGAAGTAAATATTTATTTGATCATAAGTGTGTGGAGCGTTGAGTCAATTAGGGCTGTGATAAATTATTTCAGAGGATTTCGTTATCACAATTTTAGCATCACACGACCCGTAGCCGAGGTTGAGTTAATCCCACTTAAAACTATTACGCTCCTCTACAGTTCGTTTTCAGAGAAAATAAAGCCTTTTCTCTTTCAAAAAACGTGTTTTTTTTTCTGTCTCTCTATCTCTTTGTTTGGCTACGCCTCTAATCCTTGAGCCGACTGATTCTAACGAGAATTTCACTAGCAGGTCTTTCACCGAAAATAATGTATGCTATTTTAGTCCAAAACTAATTAAGTTTCTTGCGTCAAAATTGGGAAAGTGTAAAAGCGGGAAAACATACTTTTTATTTTCGTAGCTTAGATAGGTACACGAGCTCACAGCCCACCTGGTGCTAAGTGGTTACTGGAGCCCATAGATATCTACAACGTAAATGCCGCCACCCACCTTGAGATATGAGTTCAAAGGTCTCAGTATAGTTAGTTACAACGGTGGCCCACCCTTCAAACCAAAACGCATTAGTGCTTCACAGCAGCACATAAAAAATAAAAAATAAATAAAGAAGACTGTACCAAAAATATGTTCAGTAGTTATATATGTACATAAGTATATAGCCGACAATATTAACAAAACGTTGAGTGTAGTTTCAGAGGCACAGCATTTCAGACGCATCCGGAACGCAATATTGAGAGGATGGGAGGGAATACGTCAGGTTAATATACAAGAAAATTAAATTTCACAGCAGACGCTCGGTATCGCGAGCGAAATGTAATACGGAGTTTGGTCGGCGGTTTCTCTACTTTACGGTATGTTTGTGTCTGTGTGTGTCTGTATGGTTAGTTAGCTATGTATATTGTATAGTTCCACGAGCGTTTGGGTTGAGGTGAAATTTCTTAGTTTATTTTTATATTATCTCGCTAGTGAACTGGAGCCTAAAATCGGATGCTAATACAAGAAAACGCAGAGATGATGGTAGGACCACCTGAGAGTCCGCGCGGGTAGGTACCAGCACACTTTTTTTTTTTCGGGCCGGGGGCCGAACCTCCTACGAGGTCCCCGCGCATAAGGGGCTCGTTAGCAAAGATAGATTTAAAGGCTGTGAACAATGTTAGCACACTATAGTTACTTCTCATGTCTATGATATTATCATAAGCGTGCTTTAAATTTTAACTTGTATTTAAATATTATGCCACGATAATCTTCCGGTTGATATCGCTTGCAAAACTGCCGTTCGAACTATCATCGCGAAACATGCGACAAATTCTCTCAATCTAAATGGCTCTTAGATGCTTTAATGAAATCTTTACCACATATGAGTCGTCTATTATCAAAGGTGGCAATCTGTACATTTGGAAAAAAAATATTTATTGATATGTCAATACAGATTGATTTGAATATAATCGTCTCCTTCAAAGAATACGGTTCAAAACCTGCATTAAATAAAGGTTAATAGTTAACCTGTTATTTATCTATGATGTCGTTCCGAAGAGTTTTGTGACTGCCGATGGAATACAAAGCCAATAATTCGTTTTTCTGATTTACCAATCATTGTCCAAAAGTCAGATTGCCGCCTTAGATAATAGTCGACTCATATATCCGTCCAAAACCCCTTTGAGATATTGCGAACGTATCTGAGACTTGCACGCTTCTCAATCAAACGCTAGCGGTGGCCGGATTCAAAGAGCTTGGGGCTCGTGCTTGCAATCCCTATTGAGTTACATACTGTGATGTCCAATTACATCATAGTGCATAGTTTTTGTGATCTTGCATTACTTTAGTAAAATATAGTGCAAATATAAATTTACTGGTCTTTTACTGGTGGTAGGACCTCTTGTGATTCTGCATGGGTGGGTGCCACCACCCTGCCTATTTCTGTCGTCAATTAGTAATGCGTTTCGGTTTGAAGGGTGGGGCAGCCGTTGTAACTATACTGAGATCATAGAACTTATCTCAAGGTAGCATTAACGTTGTGGATGTCTATGGGCTATGGAAGTCAATCGTTAAGATTTGTTAAGTACGTATTTCATTAGAAAAATTTGTACCTGTTTTTAGGATTCGAGCACCGGTGAATCGGTACATACGAATTCACCTTATCCACGTCTTATCCTTTAGGCCACGATGACTCTTTTTTACGAAATGAGCTATAAAAGCCTCTATTAATACACTCCTGACATAGAGAATTGATAGTTGGTAATATATTATTATTAAGACGTAACAATTGTTTTAATTATATCTTGTTTGAAGAGGCATATGAATTTTAAATAAAACCAGACACGTAACACGCTTTTGTATTATCAAGTTTAATAGGAAAAAAAATATCATTTACAAAATCTAAAACACCATAAAAAATTCAGGGTAGCACTAAAATAAAATTGAGCTAAGGCTTCGTTATTTACACCTTTTTTTTTACAACGCATCACTTCTAATTAACATTTTCATTAAGTTAATTTTAATATCGAAATTATAACACGTATTATTTTGGTTCGAAAAAAATATATTTATATATGTATTTCTATCTACCGAACTCACGTAGTCAAATGATATATTGTCATCATAACCCAAAACAAACATTTCCGTTTATGTCTCATATAAAATTATACGACTATTTTACGATTTATTTTACGTTATTTACATTCAATGTGTCATCCGTTTGCTGCCAACACTGTCCGTTGATATTATTTTATTTTTATAACATTATAATATAAATTTATTCATATATATACATAATGCTTCTATATTGTGTTGATATCGTTGATTGCACAACGTTGTTCTTAGATCGTGGAATTTGCTTATAAATACAGTATTATATTATAAATAACTAGCCGTACTCGCCCGCTTCGCTGCGCATTTAAAATTGACATTATTATTTATTGTCATTATTATTAGGGAGTCCAATACTCATATAAATATTAGCCAATCCATTAAGTACATGTATTTTCTACATGGATACCAAGTTTCAAGTCAATCGGATTCATGGTTCAGTAGTTATAACGGAACATCCGTAAAAAACCACTGTAGATTTATATATTAGTATAGATTAAGTTCGAACATACAGCAAACCAGGGGATGATCACGCTACCAATTAACCCGGAGTATTAAGTTAAGATTTAAGTAGACGCCTCGTTAACAGCTCTCGTAACAGTAACTTTTATTTACAAAAATAATACTATATCATAATTTTAAACAAAACACCCATTTACATTACAACACTCGCACACTATTTACAAAACGTAGATATATATAGCATCGGTGATGCTATGACTCCAGTCTGGACTGACTAGTGTTTCTTGAAGTTTGTACTGAATTTGGATTTTCTCGATGTTTCGGTTGAGCTGAAAATAGTGTTGTTTATTAATTCTTAAATTTAAAAGCGATCGTATCCAGAGAAATATGCTAAAATTCTATTCTATAGGTATTTGATTACATTTTAATGGCCCAAAAAATTTTGTTTCGTTTTCGATTTTCTGAAATATTTCAAACTATTTACTTATTTTTTTAAAGAACATATCTTACCAAATCTCTTTAGGAGAATCTTTTCAATACCGTGCAACGGTGATTCGAATGTCAAACACAGAAGCAGGGCTAAGAAGAACGTCAGTACTATATGCGATGTTGCCGAGGCGACCTGAAAACCAAATCAGAAACATGTCACGAGGAAACAATGAACAATAATTTTAATTACCCCTTGTTTTTTTGCGATTTCATTTAAAACAAGCCGCAGAAGTACAGTCGAGCATCAAATAAATTGAAGTAACTTTTTTAAGTATTATTGCATGACCCACGCATTGCTCCTGACAACAACCACAATTAAGAAACAATTACAAAAACATAAATAATATGCACTATATATCTGTATCGTTTCGGTTTGAAGAATCAATTACACATGAGCCTCCTATTCCAAGTTTGATGGCGGCAGTTAGATAGTGAGCCCACTGAGTTTCTCGCCGGATCTTCTCAGTCGGTCGCATTTCCGATCCGGTGGTAGATTCTGCGAAGCACTGCTCTTGCTAGGGCCAGTGTTAGCAACAACGCAGGTTTGAGCCCCGAGAGCTCACCTACGCGCTAAGGTAAAGCTGATATAGCCTCTCGAGGCTATCAGCATAAGTAGGAAAAAAAGGAGAAAATAGTGATGTCCGTGAGATCTAGTAAACGCTTGACAACCGATAGACCGTAAATTCATCAATCTATCTAAAGCAAAAATCAACAAACCACAGTGAAGAATGTTATATGCATCGGATGCCTCAGCTGTCCAACGTAGTATAACTCTACAATTCCATTAACTAAATATGCGCAGAATGTCAGTCTTGCTACAGGACCCAGGAACTTCCAGGATAGTAGTCTCCCAAGGATACCTGTAAAGACAGAATTGACCCAGTGAACATTCCTAGAGTCAAATATTTTCAGGTCCAGTTTTTAATCGCTGAGCTTTGTACGTTTTGCATTGGAGCCCTTAGACTAAGAAAAAAAATTCTAATCAGTTATTGTTACCGTATTTTCTTTTTATATGCAAAAATTGAATTATTTAAAATTGGGCATTCTCTTAAGCTGCTTTCAGACTACGCTATACTATGGTGCCATATAGTTAGTATAGCAGCGTATACTTAGCCAATAATATATAGTACACTACACTGTGAACGTGTCTACAACAATATATGGTGTGCGATATTGTTTTGCTATGAGCTATATACTATGCAATTATATTATAGCGTAGTCTGAAAGCAGCTTTATACCGTGGGATTGTCGAGATTTTTTTTGATGGATTTACATTCTCACCTCCATTGCCAGTGGAACACGCAATGATCAGCCACCCGTTAGCGATGCCCCAGGCAAGTTTGTGCAGGGAAATGTATGCAGCAGCCTCAATGTTACTGTATTCGTACCACTCTTGGTAGAACAAGGTGACCGAGAAAGTGGTCACAGTTCCCAAGATAATGCTGATCAGCCACGCAAAGCTCTTGAGGAGATAAGACATTTGATAGCTGAAATTGATATATTAAGTTAAGATCAGCATACAGTACATATAGTAGATACATTAAATAAACTTACACTAACACCGTTGATATAAAAAATGTCAAATTGTTAGAAAGCTATAATCGTCAGCACTCGTGAACACGCGCATACAAATTTTAGGGTATTTATTTTCTAATTTTAGTTTTCATTAAACCCTAAATGGCGATGCAGGAGCCAGTTTCGGGAGCATAGGACACGTGAAAAAAAAATACCACCTCCGAGTTCCTATGGTCCTTGGTCCTATGGTCCTTCCAACCTATGGTCTAAAAGCCGTTCCATCGGAAGAAATTGGTAGTACCTATGTATACCGGTTACATCCAATATTTTGAACATCGCACAAATTCAATAATTTTGTAGGTATGATTCAAACTATACGATTTTATTTAAACATCATAGACCCCTAGAAAATCCCGATCCCTTTTCAGTACTTTCAATAAAAACACCAACTTACTTGGTCGACTGTATACGATGTAGTACATAGCCGGTCAACAGCCCCATACAATATGTTATCATCTTCATGTGCGTCTTTATGTAAGCCTCTTTAAAGTAAAAGTTTGACACAATATCCGTGAATTCTCTGTAATGAAAATCCAAAAAGAATGAAAGGTTGTGTATATTGCAAGCGCAAATTTGCTTATTTACACTTCATATTACGTTATGAGAAAAAGGATAGCTAAAGGATACATGATAATGGCACGGTATGGCCTTTAGATCAAAAGTTCAGGTCAATCATGTTTGATCAGAAAGTTTGGTAATAGACCATGGACATTTCCTGGTAGTTCATAGGGGCAGCTCCCTTTGTGATAGGGTTTTGAACGCTCATAGAAATATCAGTGCTCTCGTCATATCTACCAAGAAACCATCGGGAAATATTTATTGTAACGCATTAAAAAGTCCCTCTTTTAAATCACTGGTTTTCAATCTACGAACTTTACTGTAAATGATTTAGAATCAGTGGTAAAAAATATAGAACTTACTTCGCAAAAAACAATAACGTTGGATCCAATTTGTCTTTATACGTGATGACAGATGGAACCAACATAGACACCAAAATAGCGAATGACAGAAGAAAAGTACCAAACTTCCTCCAACGCCACAGGCTGTAGATGAATATCGGAGCCACAAAGAATAACTGTGTGTCCACAGATAAATACCATGATTGGAACATGCACTGAAAATATTAAAATACAATTAATCTAAAGTTTTATCATAAGAATATTTTATGTTGCTTTCCGTAATATGTTGTAACATGAAGACATGTAATAATATGGTGTAATATGAGGAAACATTTAATAAAATTAAAACTGCATAATGTTGATCCAGTTCTTAGCGACCTTGACCAATTTCCTAAGCCAAATTCTGCAATACTTTTGCGTCTTAAGAGTTAAACATCCTTAGATGGATAGACCAATACATGGACTTTCTTTTAGCTACTTTACTTGACTACCACAAAAATGTTGATAAACTAAAATAACTAAATATTTATATCTAAAATATCTGAATACTTTCACAAAATAAGCTATTGTACAGCATTGTCATTCGAACTATACAGACGGAATGTTGTTATTTTGACGAAATCCACAAACGGAATTTGTAGTCATAGAAACATTTGTACTTTGAGACCACACTCTTCGATATTAACAAGAAATTCCTTCACAAATACTTTTATCGTGTAAAGATCTCATCACAAAGAAAAACTTACCAAAGATCGGATTTTAGACATGTACAAAAGATCACAAGTACGGATCAAGAAATAAATAGTGTTTATTCAATAAAAACCATGAACGAATCCATTATGTACAAATAGATGTGGCGAAAACCACAGACTTGTGCCAAATCATAACCAAGTAAATTGAACTGTAAAAGCTATAAAAAAAGGAATTACCATTTGGTCAGTGTTCACGTAGTTATTGATGTATAAGATATTAGCCCACCAGGATTCCATGCAGCGCTCTCGCTCTAATAACAGTCGATCATCCCATAGCGGGCCCTCTCCGATCTTCGGGAACCAAGTCATATAGAATAATATGATAACTGCATATGCCGGAGTTACCCTTTAGACAAAAATATAGATATTCAGCACTTAAAAACAAATGTATCGTCATGAGTCAGTGTGAAGTGTTCTGGGATGCCACTTCGGGAATCTTTGGAAGTAAATTGCAAGGCTTTAGTTATGGAAAATTTTAAAACTTAGAAAACATTACTTGGTAACAATTACAATTAATAAAGAACAACTCCGAAATAAAATCTTCTATTAGAACTAAGATGTTTGTTCCTAACCTTTAACTTATATCACAATAAATACCTACACATATGTATCAAAATGATTACTAACCTGATATACCGGAATACCAAAATTGGAATAACGTTAAGTTTTCCTCGTCTTTTATCCAGTTCTATGAGAAGAAGTCGGCAAAAGAGAAAAGCGCTCAGAAACAAGAATGTGTCCACGAGCAAAGCGTTGTTCAACATGAAACCATTTAGCGGTGTTCTGATTAGCTAGAATGATGAGATTACATTTTACTAAAAAAAATTAAGAAATCTAATAAATAATAATATCTACTAATAGGATTTGGGCTACATATTTCAAATAACCGCTGTAAGAAACGCTATTTTTAAAAGAGCCAAAAAATGAGCATTGCTAAAGTTTTTCCCTAAAAACCATATATCAGTAAGATACAAAAACAAGTAATTCGGAGTAAGCAATTACGAGAACAATCAAAATATATTAGTCCAAGATTTCAACATAGTCCAGCTTGCATTTTCTTATAATATACGTTGGAATATATAGCATGTAAACGTTCAAAAAATATAAGACAAAGATGAAAGAGGAACTCTCTGTGTATTCGGAGTTGAATGGTTACAGACTTAATACTGTTGGCTGTTTTGTCTTTTTTATTGCGTTTGCAGGCACACGAACATTTGGCCTATCTGATGGTGAGTGGTTACCGTCGCTCATTAACGCTAGTGATACCAAGGATAAAACCAAGCCGCCGCTGTCTGTCTCATGACTCGAAGTCTATAGCTACGAAATTAGAAGCAATGATAATTTTGTGGAAACTATAATTGAGATTTTTTTTAATTGCTTCGACGGGTGAACTAACTGCCGGCCAACTTGAAACAAGTAGTTAACAAAGCCCATAGAAAGCCCACAACGTAAAAGTCGCCACTTTGAGACATGAGTTCTATAGTACAGCAGTTGTAGCATCCTTCAATCTGGAACGCGTTACTACATCACGGCTGAAATAGGCAGGATCGTGATTCTTACTCAGGCGGCCTCACAAAACGATCCACCTCTAGTACAAGCTTAGATGGTGACACTTGACAAATCTATCCGCAATATAATATAAAAAGGCAACTCACTCTATCCCAAGCAGTAGCATCCATAACAGGTCCACTGGCTATGAATAGACAGGCATGGCCGCCCAAAATAAAGATCATAGACAGCGCTTTGATCCCAGTTACGCATTCTAAGCCAAGATTTCCCTGCTGTTTCGTTGATATAATCTTCTTTACATTATTGATGACAGAGAATGACGTTATCAGTTCCGTGATCACAGAATCCTTTTTCTTCCCCATGTAGATGATGAAGATTTCGAAAATGGTGCTAAGTGTTAGAATGGTCATGAACACGAGAATTAAGGACCTGCGAACACAAAATATGCTGCTCATTACTATGCGCTAATTTAATTTTCAATTTTTTTTAAACACCATTCACTATTGGAACCATTCCTCTGAGGAATTGTTTGAGATGATACCGACATCTCGCTTTTACCATCGCACCGCCCGCCACCGGAGTACAGTTCATCCATACTACCTGGAGCCACTACGTTCATCGACAGTGATCTTTTTTGCCACCAACCATCCAGCTATGGAATGAGCTCCCCTCCACGGTGTTTCCCGAGCGCTATGACATGTCCTTCTTCAAACGAGTCTTGCGGAGAGTATTAAACGGTAGGCAGCGGCTTGGCTCTGCCCCTGGCATTGCTGACGTCCATGAGCGACGGTAACCACTCACCATCAGGTGGGCCGTATGCTCGTCTGCCTACACGGCAATAAAAAAAAAATTTTGATCTCCCAATTACATGATTGAACCGGGTGCTCTACACAAATTGGTTTTTTCAGATTAATGTAATTGATTATTTATGTATGTATATCCCCAGCCTCTGCCATAGGAACTATGTCCGTGTAGCATATTTCACTGCATTGAATAATTCATTTAATATTAATTAATTGCAAAATATTTTTGAAGAAATAGTTACAGTTGACTTTGATGCTCCTGATTTTCAAACGAACAAACAGCTATAAAATATTAAACATTCTTGATGACGGATACATCAATACCCGTTTTCTGAACTAGTTTCTATTCACATTTCTATAACTTTCATATTCATATACACAACGAAAGTTCAAACCAAAGAAACAGTTTTGTGTCATAAAAAAAGCAACCAAAGAGTTAATGAACAATAATATTAACTTTCCACGAGTGATCTATCATCATACGTCATAAATAAATAGGAAAAAGGAAGCGAGGAAGACGTAGCTTACGGAATATGTTTGTTTTGCTCGCAATGTTGCGCGCCTTCTAGTAATATAACAAGTTTTCGTTTGATTACAAGTTTTGCTATTATCATTGTGTTCGTTTATTTGGTACCTCGTGGACCGCTTTATTCATTACTAGATGATTTTTTTTTTGATAACGCCATCTTGCTGTGTCTTTAAAGCGGTTAGTTGCCCTCAATTAAGAAAAATAGTATTATTATTCGCCAATAGATGTCGGAGAAGAGTCATAAAGTTGATTATCGATAAAGTTGATTATTGAAAATACGAATAAAACAACATTTTCTGAAAATAAATCGTAGTTAGATCGATTTATAGCCCCCGAAATCCCCTGTATACTAAATTTTATGAAAATCGTTGGAGCCGTTTCCGAGATTCAGATTACATATATATACAAGAATTGCTCGTTTAAAGGTATAAGATACGATTTTGGAATCTTGATTTTGCTCCTCAAGTAGCTATGTATTAGTATTTGTATCCGCAGTATTTATATTCGGCAGTATCAACTATCAACACTAGAATATTTTGCAATACTGCGCAGATGGGGACTGCGACCCAATTAGAAAGTAACGCAGTAAAACTTCGATCTTAAGGCTTCGTCAAACAGAACGCGTACTTAGCGCTGCGTTTTAACGTCGCGCTCTTTACATGTAAGACAAATTGACTAGATGAGCCCACTGCTCCTTGACGCAACGTACCGCCAAATCATAGTGCCTTTCGATAGCAGTGTGAACATTTAAAAGTATTAAAATGTCGAGTGATTCAGATGTGGCATTGTATAAGCATGGGTATTTTCTAACTATTTCTATCAATTTTTCGGGCATTATCCAGTATTTTAATACACATTCACTCGGACGCTAAATGAAATTTGTAAAAAATTACAACGCCTGACGTCAAAGCGTCCTAACGCCGCGACAGAGCGGTACCTATAGCGCTGGAGCTCTGTTTGACGGTATGTTACCATAGTAGTACAAGACATCTCGGCGTTAGAGCGCGCCGTTAGTTTAGCGCTCTGACGCGCGCTATTATGAGTTCTGTTTGACGAAGCCTTTAATGTATTAAAAGAAATAAAGGACATTCACGATGGTGCCTACGGACTTAAGCCATTCCCGATCCTGCGGACAGAATGGAAAGCAGTCGACGTCACCCAAAACACGTCATCTCGGATCCTCCCGATCCACTAACGGTGCTTCTAGGTACTTCAAGCACCGGTCCCCGTTCTCGTCGAACCCGTCGCTTGCGACGAAGGGCTCGACGAGTAAATTAACTCCCAGACACAGCCCACTGAGTTTCTCGCCGGATCTTCTCAGTGGGTCGCGTTTCCGATCCGGTGGTAGATTCTGCGAAGCACGGCTCTTGCTAGGGTTCGTGTTAGCAACGTCATCAGGTTTGAGCCCCGTGANCAATATACGTCGTACACAATTTTTCTACCCTTTCTTTTGATTACTACACCAGTTTGTCGCGGCATAGTGTATTTTTTATAAAAAATCAACAAACACTCAACAAATAGCAATGGCAACAAAGTCAACAAGCAATTATAACAAATAACTTAACGATTAATAACGATAGATTTTTCACTGTACGCAAGCGTACTTTTGGGAGCGAGCGGAACGAGGGCGCGGTGCGGGGCGCAGGGTTCGACTGATCTACCAATAACGCGCTCGATACGATTTCCCCTGGCGCCGCGCCTCACCCTCACCACCAAAGTGATCTAAAATTCGGTTCTGCGCAGTCAAGGTCATTTGCTCAAGATGTTTGCCGGTTACTATACTTAGCGCTGCGTTTTAACGTCGCGCTCTTTACACGTAAGACAAATTGACTAGATGAGCCCACTGCTCCTTGACGCAACGTACCGCCAAATCATAGTTAGTGCCTTTCGATAGCAGTATGAAAATTTAAAAGAATTAAGATGTCCAGTGATTCAGATGTGGCATTGTATAAGCATGGGTATTTTCTAATTATTTCTATCATTTTTTCGGGCATTATCCAGTATTTTAATACACATTCACTCGGACGCTAAATTAAATTTGTAAAAAATGACAACGCCTGACGTCAAACCGTCCTAAAGCCGCGACAGAGCATTGCGTACTTATAGCGCTGGAGCTCTGACGGTATGTTACCGTTACCATAGTATTACAACACATCTCGGCGTCATAGCGCGCCGTTAGTTTAGCGCTACGACGCGCGCTAATTACGCGTTCTGTTTGACGAAGCCTTTAATGTATTAAAAGAGATAAAGGACATTCACGATGGTGCCTACGGACTCAAGTTATGCCTCGCTCGTGCTAGCGATCCCGCACTTGTGAATTATTATCCTACTGTACTGCCTATTTCTGCTCGAAGCAGTCAAACATTTTGATTTCATAGGTAAGTATATTGGGTGAGCTTATGTGGATTTGCAACACGTCTTTGAAAAACCAGTACCTTAAACATTAAAATCAAGTAGCACACATACGGTTAGTGAGCCATGAATCCAAAGAATAAATAGAAACGTTCATAGATAGCTGATAAGATAATAATCGAATCCAAACAACAATTCTTAATAAAGTCAGTTAATAATTTACAAGTTGAATAAGCCACAAAAAACAAGGATAGCATTTTTTATGCGAAAAATAAATACATAGAGCTTAAGGCAGTAAATCGGGATTTTGAACGTCGTCACGCCAAAAGTCGCACCAAACTCTTAAGTTATGGGCCGCAGTATTATAACTTGATCGAGTTTAAATCTCTGCATAGTAAAATATATTTTAGGTCAGGGTTATTGAATTACTAGGTTTCAGTAATTTTTACTGTTTTTTAAGCTATTGCATAGCTTTTATCGCGGGCCTTGAGCCCGAAATCATGAAATTCCGTAACGAAAAAACCTTCCACCCCTCACTCCGCCTACCATGTAGCTCGCGTTCAACACATTCACACGTTGCGCTTGTGTAGTGTTTGTGAATAAGCGCGTGGCGTGACGTCACACTGCATGCGCATCATGAAAAGTCTGCCCATCTCTCTCTCTCGCGCGGTCTAGCTTATGAGTGTGAAGGGGACAATTAAGGTTTTGCTTTTATTAGTGTTTAATATAGCGTGGTCTTATTATTGTTTTAATATTAAATTATCATTGTCTGATTATAATTACATAAGTTGATAAAAAATGCTATGCAATAGCTTTACCGCGGCAGTTCTCGAGTGCCACACGTTTTTTTTTATATATTTACTCTCTTTTTCAGCGTCTTCCAAATGTTACATAAATTTCGTCAAACGAAATATGAAAATAGCCCTTAGTTGTTAAAAAACTTATAAAAAATATTTCATCCAATTAAAATATAATGCTTTTACGTAAATAAGCTTAATGCAGTACACTTCACAAATGTCACTGTTTAACCCTAAAATAATTTAGCATAGTTGTAGTAAAATAATGTATTTAACGGTAGGCAGCGGCTTGGCTCTGCCCCTAGCATTGCTGAAGTCCATGGGCCACGGTAACCACTCACCATCGGGTGGGCCGTATGCTCGTCTGCCCACAATGGGCAATAAAAAAGCAAAAATAAAAACTCACAAGAATGCCACATCCAAATTGTTAATAGACAACGGTCGTCTTGTGTAACAATCACGTTCGGATACTTCGACTCCTGTATTGTTCCCGACCGTATGCGATAAGACACTGCTCACAAAACTCTGGACTGCTTCAGAGTTGCAAACATTCGGTACGCAAACCGCCCAGCGCAGTGTTTCTCCTCGGCCCGTCCTAATCTGCGAAGCACAAACAAGATTATTTATTTTCATTGCCCCAAACTCTTAATAAAGAGACATTACAATGTGAATGCCACCACTCTTGACACACGTTAACAGTTCTTTCATACTATATACATTGCTCCGTTATTAAAAGTGAAAGAAGAAAATCAACCAATACAATATAATTTTATCCCATTCTATATACTATATGTATATGTAATAACCCAACACGCCGATTTTTTTAACCAAATAAAAATCATATCCTTCATTATCAACTTTTTATTTTATTTATTTTTTGGGAAACCAACAGTACAATACAAACATATATTATATACATTTATACATATTATATACATTTATTTTTAATTTTTTGGACATATTTTTTCTTGTTATAATGAGGCATTATGTGGTTGAATGAGGTTTTGTTATTTTTATATTCTCTCATCGTTCACAGCGCTACATGCCTCTTTCACTCATTTACCACATCCTTACACACTTACAATAAGTTAGTTTTTTTTTCTTCACTAAAAATTCCCTAGATTTCTTATACATGGCAAAACAACGTTTGAACTAGTAATATCATAAGAACCTTGAACACGTCCTAATGATAAAGTTTTTACTAGATCAATCAAATTTATATTCAAGTTAAATTTTGAATGTACCAACCAAAATAATGGACCATGACAGATCCATGAAGTAAATGGTCGTTTGAATATAAAATTCACCGTGACCTAACTCGGATCGAATATTTTAAAAACATTGCTCACAAAATGACGCCACACGATTTAAAATGTGCATGCACAATGAGAAGTACCAATATCCTATATCAAAATCTCAGGTACTACATCTCTAACTCCACACCAATTCTGGATTCAAAGTTTAAATAGCACATTGTTGTATACGGTATATAATAAATGGGGAAATCATAGTATTCATTATTTCTTATTGACCAAAATTAAAACTTTAAATTTAAAAGCAACGAAGAATTAAAATACTGCGTTTCACGATGTGTTCTATAAATATAGGTATATGTAAATTATAAAATTATCAATAATTATAAATTGATATAGATACTTAGAAAATTATAAATTTGATTATAGAATCATCACAGACTTCGATCGATTTATCAAACCACAGCGATAAAAACCGTACACACAAAATTCTATGCGAAATTTATATTTCGGGTAGGTCAAAGTCTGCTAAGACTTTTCGACGAGGTTTTTCCAATGCCAATTGTGTATTTAATACGCATGTGGATAACGTTAAACATACATATGGTAAATTTACCACACGAATGTATAAATCAGTAGTAACAAATGTGAAAATTAGCACCCAATATTTGCGTTGCCTATTTTTTGGAATTATTACCTTTTTTAGTTCTTAGTAACTAGCATCTGACGCCAATGCGTTTTTCCCACGTTACTTTATGTCAATCATCATATAAGTGGTTTATTTTCTTAAATGATCGACAAATTCTTTACTATGTCTCTAACATTGTTCATGACAATGATCGATAGTATTGGGCCTAATGATCTACTCTGCTAATAATCTGACCATCTATTATTTGCGTGGTAGCTGTATACCTTCTCTTCCTACCTAACTACTATCTATATCTGGGTGGCAACATTTACTTTATAGTGTCTATAGCTACTGTCCAACTTCATATCAGCGGTTAGTCAATCTAATGAGAACAGGTAGACGAATTTAAAAAATGCTACAAGCCAATTCCAAGCCTTCCATTTTTAAACACATTTGCCCCCTAATACAAAAAGTTCACTGGGCAAACAGCAATGCCTGTACTTTTCTAGACGAGTAGTATCTCTCTAAAATTGGGTGCTTAAATAAATCACTAAGCTTCAGTCTATAGCAGCTAATGTGGATTTGCAATGGATCCTACTAATCTTATAGTCATTAGCTACATCGATAATAGTCAGGCCTTGTGATGTAAAGTTTATATTTTATTGTCCTCGTAGACAAGCTTACGGCCCATCTGATGGTAATTACCGTCGCCCATGGACATCAGCAATTCTCAGAGCAGAGTCAACCTGCTGCCTACCGTAAAATAACGTCGAAATATCCTTTGAATTACAAATAAGGAAAATCTTAATATGGAATAATTTTTCGGAATGCAATGTCACACTCTAGCCACTATAATATTTACGTAAAATACGTAATTGAGTAGACATACAATGGGTTAGTCATAGCTCTAAGTGACTAAATCTAATTCAAATCTTCCTAATTAGAAAACAATACACTGCGGCTACAAGTAGCCGTGTTAGTTTACATATAAAATCACGTCAATCAGCCTCTGAGTCATCAAACCGTAATCCCCACTATTCAATCAAATTTCAAATGATTCATGTACATCTGTGATTTAAATGTCCGTCACTAGTATTATTGTTGCTGTGTACTTTATTAGCAGTTCTTTTAGTTAGATGTTTTCTAAAGTTGTTTTATCGCCAATAATTTTTTTGTATAATATATTTTTCACTCTCTGAGTTTCATGCTATTAATAGTAGTGCAAATATCAAATTTAAAAATTGATATCTATGAGCTGTAGTAACCATTTAACAACACCAGGTTCACTTGACTCGTTTTCTAAATTTACTCAGCTCATTAATTAGAAGGGTCTCTATATAAGGCTTTTAGAGTTAGATCTTCGCACTGCCTTTATGGAAACACAAACAGAGCAGGCAAAATGAAGAGTTTCGTAGTCAAAATGAACCTTCACGTCTATAACTTAAGGTTCATTTAAAATCATTGACTATCATTTTGCTCTAAGTACCGAAATCCTAAAAATCCCAAAAAAAAGTACTACACACATTATCTTGTACAAACTATTTTTTATAGGTTGGATAATCTCACTTTTTTCCATAAATGTAAGTAACAGGAGCACAGAAAACTGTTACGTTTTTTTTAAAACTTAAATGACGAGAATAGCGCATAGCGATAGTAAGCGGCCTTGTACTTAATTTTTTTTCCTACCCAAGCTAATGGTCTAGAGAGACCATGTCAGTGTCACCGGGCTAGTATGTGAGCTCACCGGGCTCAAGCCTGACGATGCTGCTAACACGAACCCTAGCAAGAGCCGTGCTTCCCAAAATCTACCACCGGATCGGAAACGCGACCCACTGAAAAGATCCGGCGAGAAACTCAGTGGGCTGTGTCTGAGGGTTAATTTATTCGCGGAGCCCTTCGTCGCAAGCGACGGGTTCGACGAGAACGATGAGCGGTGCTTGGGGTACCTAAAATCACCGTTACTGGATCGGGAGGATCCGAGATGACGTGTTTTGGGCGACGTCGACTGTTTACCATTTCGGATCGGCAATGGTGCTCAATACTAATTCATGGTATGCTCTGTTTCAAATCTGTGATCTTAAATAACACCGTATATACCTTATTCTCCTCGTGCTGCCACTTAATCGTTGCAAGGCAGTACTGGCCATCGACGCTCACACCATTATCATTGGAGTCTTCGATGCCGACGCACTCATCGAAATTTCCTAAGTGGTACGAGGAACCAAACAGCAAGCCCTGTGGAGACTTTGCCGATGCATCGAACACTGCGGACAAAAGAAATGTTTCAAAGTTAATATCAGCACTTTCTCTTAACTTTTCTCGATAAGCGGTATTTCAATACATATAAAAGTCGAAAAACAAAACTTAAATAACTTGTTGTATTAACAAATATTTTTAGGTAACAAAAGGCCCTTCTATTGAAGAGGTCGCAGGTGTGTGTTGTCGTTTTTTTGTTGTTTACAATTTAAATTGTGTAGTAGTGATGAATTCACAGCTGGCAACCAGTTAGTAACGTACAAAAAAATACAAGAAAAGAAAATTGAAATACACGAATAAGTATTAAATATTCAAGTACTTAATATCACTTAAGTATTAACCCAAATAAAATTTATTCTCTGTCTGACCTCTTTCAATGTTTTTGTTTGCTTAGAAAATTTAAGATTTCTGGTAAAAGGCCCAATAACAATACTCTATGAACAGAAATGCATACACGAATACTTGAGAATTAGAATACCACCATCGATATTAAGGGTGAACCATGAAAATTTTTGATTCTTCTGTTGTCTTGCGGTATTGCTTGCATATTGCTAATAAAAATAAGTTATTGGAATGTAGAAGAAGCACCTACAGGTAGCTATGAGTGTCTACCGCCAATTTTACATGGTAATAATACATCTAAGAGATAATTACAATCACACATGTTTTTATTGCATAGAGAATGCGTAGCGCGTTTTTTTTTTTTTTTTTTTGCCTTTGTAGGCAGACGAGCATACGGCCCACCTGATGGTAAGTGGTTACCGTCGCCCATGGACTTCAGCAATGCCAGGAGCAGAGCCAAGCCGCTGCCTACTGCGTATCTCAAGACTAACGGGTTTACGTCTTAAAAACAATAACAAAACCTGTTTTAGCCGCTAATATAAAGATTTATTTTTAGCTCGAAAAACAAGAATAACAAAAAATTATCACAAGTTATGATTAATAACTTTTTTATTAGATTGAGATAATATTTCTAATTATAAACATGAGATCTGATGATTTAGAAACGGCAAGTGCGTGTCAGACGAAGCACAATGCACAGCATTAGTCAAGCACTTGATGTAATTGTAATTGCATAGCATTGCGACCCTAAATTACATATAAGCAACGCAAGCATTAGTTGATTTTCCCATAGACACAGCACACTGAGTTTCTCGCCGGATCTTCACAGTGGGTCGCGTTTTCGATCCGGTGGTAGATTCTGCGAAGCACTGCTCTTGCTAGGGCCAGTGTTAGCAACACCTTCTGGTTTGAGCTCCGAGAGCTCATCTACACGCTACGGTAATGCTGATATGGTCTCTCAAGGCTACGAGCATAGGTAGAGAAAAAAATCATAGATAACTTCTCGATACAAAATAAAACATGTGACCCAGCGTTTGCGATCTACATCTTTGTCGTAAACAAAAGATTCTGTGTGGCGGAAAATGATGTTTGGCCTCGAACAAACATTTTCCCTATAACTTCAATGGAACAATTGTTCAAATCAATCAGTGTCGTTGCACTTTGCATCTCGTGAAGTGTGAAAATTATCATATTTTGATGATCAATAACCAGGCGAGCTCCTGGTACCACTCAACGATAATAAGTCATTGAACCTCTTAGACTACACAAAGTAAATACCTACACCCATGTTGATCAATGAGCACAATATTCAAATGCCGACGAATTACACCTTGGTCATCCATGACCCCGAAGTTAAAGAAAACTATTCCAAAAAATCGGAAAAATGCGAGGTTAAGCCGTCAAAAATGTTTTAATTATTGAAACACGAAGTTCAAATTCCAAGTTTGCTCCTACTGTTTTGAGAATGAATTATTTTTTTTATATCAGTAGACTGAGGCGGCTAATTAATATCTCTTATACCGTGAGATCTAGCAACAGCTGAACAAATGCCAATAAGAAAAACAGTTAGCTTAAGTATTTAGTTTTTGCTTCAAGTTGAATCTCTATGTAGACGGACACCATACATATGTTAGGATATATGAAAATCTATATCCAGTTAATAAGGATTTTAAATTTTGACGGACTGAAAATGACAAATTCATCAATTTTAGAAGAACCAAAGCTGTCAACCGTATATCTTCAGTTTCTCCTGCAATATTTCGGTTACATAGCACGCAGGAACTCTGCTAGCCTGGTAGGGCATTTTTTTGGCAAAATAGACGACAAGAAAAGCCTCGCCCAAAACGGTGGTCTGACCAAGTGACACAGCAGCTAATTACATACCCGATCCTGTGGACCGAATGGTAAAAAGATGACGTCACCCTAAACACGTCATTACGGATCCTCCCGGACCATTAACGGTGCTTTTAGGTACCTCAAGCACCGGTCACCGTCCTCGCCGAGCCCGTCGCTTGCGACGAAGGGCTCGACGAGTAAATTAACTCATATAGACAGTCCACTGAGTTTCTCGCGGGATCTTCTCTGTGGGTCGCGTTTCCGATCCGGTGGTAGATTCTGCGAAGCACTGCTCTTGCTAGGGCCAGTATTAGCAACACTCCCGGTTTGAGCCCCGTGAGGTCACCTACACGTCAAGGAGAAGCTGAAATAGTCTCTCAAGGCCATCAGCATATGTAGAAAAAAAAACAGCAGCTACAAATACCAGTCAACGATGCTCTCCAACAGGCAATGTATAGCAATAGGTATAGAAAAACAGTAAGAAGAAGAAGAATATTCAACAATAAGGAAATGACTTAGAAGAGGAATAATATAAACACAAAAATATTGATAACTTATGCTGATATTTTTATAATAAATTCACTCTAATCGTATGTTATTGAATAACAATTATGTTAATAAAAATCATGTAAGAATATATATATTTTTAAAATAAATTATCACGTATTCAAATTCAAAATTATTTTTATTCATTTGCGGAATAAATGTTTTATTTTGCCATTAAAATTGTATTCATCAATTTATAAGGAGCTTTATTTCTGCGTCTAGCTACAATAGTATGAAGTAAACATTGGCGAGCGACTGAAGAGCTATCCCTCTGGGAGCCGTGCTTTTTGGTCGCTCGCCAAAGCTGCAGAAGGTAACTTTTGCAGGTCTAGTCTCCCACCACTACGCAAGTCCGATGACAGTCTGGCCCATAGTGCGAAAGAGAAGGCTGACCTTCTGGTCAAACTCTTCGCCTCGAACTCGACTGTGGACGACGGGGGTGNAAGGGCAATAAAAAAAAAAAAAAATTATGTTCATAAAACCTTATAATGGCTAATCTTACTGAAATGACTTGAAGCACGTACGTGAAAATGATAAACACTACTTTTACCGTTAAAATTTACAAAATTCATAGTTTCAATATTCCACTTCAGGCGGAGACGGCACCTTGCGTGCAGCACGTTGCTTACCATAGCTTACAACTAAATATACATATGCGTACTATCAAGTACTACAGTGTAAGTCTATCTTCCCCTACCTAATGATTGGTAGCCTAAGGAGCTATTCCAACTACTCATGGACCGATAGGTGAGCTCACGGCCACAACCTGAGAGATTTTTATTTATTTACTAGCTGTACCCGTCCGCTTCGCTGGGCATTTAAAATTAACATTATTATTTCTCACCCCCACAAAGATTCTCATCATTAACGCCCCCGTAACTGGTGTAGGGAGTCCAACCCTCATACAAATTTTAGCCTATCCATTAAGTACATGTATTTTCTACATGGATACCAAGTTTCAAGTCAATCAGATGCATGGCTCAGTAGTTATAACGGAACATCCGTAAAAACCACTGTAGATTTATATATTAGTATAGATTGTGTGGTGTGTGGTGATTTAAGTGGTTACCGCAGCCCATTGACATCTACAACGTAAATGCCGCCACCCACCTTGAGATACGAGTTCGAAGGTCTCAGTATAGTTACAACGGCTGCTCCAACCTTCAAACCGAAACGCATTCACGGCAGAAATAGGTAGGTTGGTGGTTCCTACCCGTGCTGACCCACAAGACATCCTACCACCACCACTAATTACGTTTGATTTTTATTACACAAAACACTGACCTTAATAAGAGCAGGCAGTGCTCTACTAAATCTACCACCGAATCGTAATCGCGACCCACTGATAAGATGCGGTGAGAAACTCAATGTTGCTTGGAGAGAGAGTGTTTTGTAAATCCGTACGGGTAGTTGCCACCGTTTATTCATTATACCCCCATTAATTTATGCATTATACCCGTAATTATGTCCATGGGCTCCAATAACGACTAACCGCAGGTCAGGAATCATCTCGTTCACTCATCCAACGCCAATAAACAAAGGGCTAATGCATATAACACAAACAAACACACGTACCTACAAAATATTCAACAACTTCAAGCATGATATATTTGATTTAATAGATTTAGAATAATGCAATTTCGACATAACAATTTTCACCGTAATACGAGGTCATTAAAGTTCTGACATTGATCTAAATTAAGATCAATTATGCATACAATTTTGTTTATAATCAAAGGAAAACAACTTTTAAGTTCTAAGCGTCGGCTGAATGAACTCACAGCCTACCTCGTGTTAAATGATTATGTGTCCGCCGACCTTAAAGGCTTCGTCAAACAGAACGCGTAATTAGCGCGCGTCATAGCGCGGCGTTAGTTTAGCGCACTGACGCGCGCTAAGTACGCGTTCTGTTTGACGAAGGCTTAAAACGTGAAGTCTAAGAAAGTTTTTTTTTTTTATTGCTTAGATTGGTGGAAGAGTTCACAGCCCACCTGGTGTTAAGTGGTTACTGGAGCACATAGACATCTACAAAGTAAAAGCGCCACCCACCTTTAGAAATAAGTTCTAAGGTCTCAAGTATAGTTACAACGGCTGCCCCACCCTTCGAATCGAAACGCATTACTGCTTCACGGCAGAAATAGGCAGGGTGGTGGTACCTACCCGCGCGAACTCACAAGAGGTCCTACCACCAGTAAAAGAAGAAAGAAATCATTTATTCGCCAAGCATAATGAAAATGAGTTATTACATAAGTTAAAAGCAGCGTGTATGCTTTGTCATTAGATA